TATATAGGGGTTATTTGGGTAGTACTTTCCACATCAGCTCCAGACATCTACGTAAGCAATCACCAGTTCTTGTTTCAGGCTGCCCTCATTCTCGTCCCCTTTCTCAGCCTCACACGAAGCATTTGCAGGTTGGCTGCTCCTTTCTGCAACTGCCATCCGTTGCCAGGAATCTGCGTCGATGGACGTTGGGGATCTGTCAATGATGGAGGCGCTCATGGCTTGACCTAGCTTCTAAAGCTTCCACCCCACGCTGCTGCAAGCTCTCTCCAGATTTGGTTCAGGGAGCGTGCCCAGAACACATGGGGCATGATACCAGGGATGCGGGCACCATGCCAGCACAACACTATGGAGATTCTACATGTTGTTCAGGCAAGGGAGACTTATGTCCACATAAGCAGGGGCACGCGGTAGTACTTGTAGCCGCTACCACCAAGAAATTATCAATCCCGCCTTCTGCCACAAACCTCCAGCTAATACCTATAAGGGTTGGTTGTGACGGCTCGGCGTCAGGAATGGCAGAACCGAAGTGGGCAATTAAAAAGAAGACTATAGTTCTTAGTGCTCCAAAAGATGGTAGATGAAATCCGATTGCCCCGCGGGCACCCCCGGTACATGACAAGTCAGAGCCAACGAAGATGAAGGATGAACACCCCTACTAAACCAGCCTTAGGTGCAGAGCTTTCCCAAGCAATTAGCGGCCCCTGAGATTTCCCTGTAATCTATTTGCAAAAAAGCCTACAATGCCTACTTATCCAATCCTTCTGCATCCCTATCCCGAGGCCGCAGTGAGTCCTATGCACGACTTTCGCAACCTGGCTTTCTACTCTCTGACATTCTGGGGTGTATACCGCACTGGTTCTAGGAAATGCTGTGCCATATACTGTGCTAGGTTTAAGGATACTGTGCTAAAGAGCACCTTGTTAAGGTTTCGGGCTTTCGGAAGTTCAGCCTAAGGAGCGACCCTTATAGTCCCCTGAAGTAGAGAGAATATGGGGTATATTGGGATCTACTATAATGCACCCAAAGCAATATTCGATCTACTTAAGGGGGACTATAAACATCAGGGTAGATCGCGTGCACTTTTGCCCGGGGAAAGCTCAGTCTGGATAGTAGTTGTCGACGAGCTTCCTGAGGTCCTGAACCCATATTAGAGTCCAAGCACCTGAACCGTAATTTGGGCCCGAAGGAACCCTTTGGGCCGTCCGGCATCAAGCCTATATGGGTACTCCTGCGTACACTCGCGCGGCATGCTAACAAGATTAGCCAAAATTCAATCCGGCCCACAATACATGAGGATTACGTCTCAACATTACGATCCCTCCCTCCTGCTTAGCACAAGAGTTCATATTCTGAGGATCCTGCAAGGGGACCCATGCGTGAAGAGCCCTTCAATCCTGACACCAGCGCCCAAATCTGCCCAGGACATGGTGGGCCGCAGACCACAGCCAGCATTCTGGAGAAGCGGAGAGCATCCTGGATGATTCATGAATCACGTACCCTCCACCTGTACTCACAATCCCCGGAACTAGCACGGTCTTTTGGTAGCCCTCCCCGAAGAGCTCAAGATAGACAATCGCGTTCTTGATGTTGGTTAAGATCATGGTGCCACCTTTAAGGGGAGCAAAGTAGCCCTATGTTGAGGAATATGAGACCCCACATCAAAGCATCTTTCGCGCGACCACTGCGCAATTGATTTGCTGAATACAAGAAGGGCCTGAAAGAAGGATGCCCCGAAGGAGAAGGAACAGGACATTTCCCTTATGGTGTCGGGAGATGCCGGGAGTACAAGAATACACTTTAGGGTGCATACGCAGCTGTCAAGACGTTCTGATTGTAGGCACACGGATTAAAACTTTAACCTAGTAACTTGAAAGCTGCTGCTTGTACTGCTGCCGGCAAAAAGCTACAACCTTGCGCCTCTTGTGAAGATGACCGTCCTCACAATGCAGTTGCCTCTTCGGTATTCCAGAAGAGGCTTAAGGATGTGTTGATGTGGGACCTACGGAGAACCCCAATTATGACACACAGCGTGCTGCAAGATTTTTGAAAGTACATTTCTGGAATCCTGTGGGTAAGGCGTTCGCGCCCTGACTATGCCCCCGTGGTCTTTGGATTCGGATCTCTCCTGGAAATGTTTGTCCCGCGCAAAATGGTAATGATACTGGCCCGTCTCAAAAAGGTATAAAGGCCACAGCCGCCCAGGAGCTTTCCAGCATTGAAACCAGCCAACAAATACCTGAAACATGTCAGCAATCCCGTGTAGAGTCCCCAGAGTCCCCAGACATCCCTGCTCAATGGAGCCAAGGTTCAAATGATGATCATGCGGGCAGAGAAAACACGAAAGTTCACCGCGGAAAAGCGTTGGTACGCCATGCCGCTGCACTTGGCGTGTTTTTTTTCGGCATCTGCATAGCCTTCGGAGTTCAACATGTTTGAACAGCAGTCTGCTCGGATTAAGCAGTTGGGGCGTGGCGATGATACGTGCAATCTATTCCCCAGCAGGACTGTCCAGTAAATTATTTGCTGTTTTCGTGAAGAGCCAGTTAGTGCTCCTTGAGCCCATCTCGCGCGGCTCTCAGGTGATCAATCCAGAGAGCAACCGCTTCGTCATGTTCTGGCAGATGGCCAGGGCCTTAAACGACAAAGTAATTTGCAGAGTCTCGGGTTCTTGGATGTTATTGGTACACGAGGGACATTGCATCCTGATTAAAAACCAGAAGCCAGGGATTAGACTCTGAGAGGGCCACGTGGCAGTGGCAGTCAGCACCTACAGCAAACTCAATCTTCTGACGGGAAGCTTGATTGAGGGATCAGCATGGGTGGCGTTTGAATTTCAAACACATGCATTTCCTAATTAATTGTGTAGATGAAAGATATGGCGCCTTGACTCTGCACCCTGCGAATCTTAGAAACTCGTTCTCTAAAAATACCGTCACGGCCCTCACCAACAGACTCGGAAAGCAGCCGCCGCAGTACCCCCCCTCCTTGTCGCACGCCAGATGACCACTATCGCCATGGTGTTCGTGGCCCTCATTACCCCGCTTCAGGTGCTTGAAGATTGTTTTGGGATGGCGGGGCTTGAACATGAGCTGTGCGGCGATTGCCGGACAGTTCCGTACTGAGTGCTTTCTGAGATGTTCTTGTAGTGGGTTGGGTTGAGCCCGCACGCTCTTTCTGGGCTTCATGGCAGTCAGATCACTGGGCAGCCACGCTCTACAACCTAACACCAAGCCCTGCCAGCAAAGTCCTGGACTCGCGCACAGGGCTTCTTCTAAGTAACTAGCGGTAACTAGCCAAGACTTTACCAATGAGCAACCCTCGGGGCAGCGAAGCTGCGCAGGTCGGCCTTTTCGAAATACAGCTTGACATGCTCTTGGCCGTCAGCCTCTGCACCTCAGCCGGTGTTTCAGTAACACCATGTTCGCAGTCACTACGCTTTCATAAAACAACAGCTGTGCAGTGTGCATGCATGCCAGTCATTATGCCAGCACAGCTGCATGCCGTTGCTGAGGGCCGGTATTGATAGACGCAATGACAACAGCCTTGAGAAACAGCCAGCGTAGTGGCATCACGAACATCCTACATGCAACAGTTACCTGCAAGATATAGCTGCAAAGAGTTGGAGATGTCAGTCCCACGCCATGGTTAGTTTCGAAATAGGCTCAGACTAAAGACTGACGCCTTGCAGGTGTTGATTCCATATTCCTCCTGGATATGATCCTGCAGTTCTTCACCATGTACCCCAAGAAAACAGCTCGCGGCGTCCAGTGGGAGCACTCCCTGCGAATCTTGCCTTCGGAAGCACTTCACTGCATGAAAATTCGCAATGCTAGGATGGACGATTTTTGTTGCAGGTGCAAGGACTCCACGATGTGACATCCCAGAGAAAGGGATGTGCAGGGTTGAGTAGAGGCCATGCTGTCAGTAGTTTTGGACAGGGCATGTATGCAGTCTTCTGGACCTTTTTTGGTGACACTGGTTACGCCCAGAGAGCATTCAGGCAGCGATGTCAAGACCACAAAACAATAAAGGCACGCTTCTCCAACAAGGCGTGCTCTCAGAATGCTTACTGCTTCTTAGTAGGGAATATAAGCTCTAAATACTTTGTTTATGTATATTCCCATATTCCCTACGAACCCCTACATCAGAATATGAAGGCAGCAAGGGATGCGAACTGCTTACATGGGGCTCTGACTACGACCGCCTTTTTATGTTTTTTCTTCGACGTAGAGCCTGTAGCTAGATGCTTCTGAAACATAGACTTTGATATCTCACCTGTCATGGACATGACTTCAGAAACCCAAGATACCGCCATCGCTAAACCCCAAACCCCCAAACGTGCCTGCTGAGTCCGATGCACGTGCCTAAATCGAGGCCAGGGCAAGTAGAGAGTTCGCATACTTGGCAAGTGTATGGCCAGTTGCAGCGTGCGAGCGTGCAAATGGCAGGAGGTCTTGTGCTGCGCAAGTGCAGCTTACTCTTGACTCCAAGGAAAGATCAGCCGGCACTACATGAAGACTTGGTTTCTGCTGGATTTCGTTACGCTTATACCCTGGGCCCCGCGGCGGCAAGTTAATCAGTGCCCTTAACTCAGCTTTACTCCGCTACCACGGTTTGGCATGATTCGCTTGCCTTTTTGGATGATCTCTTTTGACCTGCAGATACCTAAGAACGATAGGCAACTGCCTACAATATCGCTTCTACAGATCTTGAACCTGAACTGGAGACTATAGTCCGCCTTAGGTAGATAGAATATGGCTTGGGTATATTATAATAAGATCCCTATATACCCCATATCCTATCTGCTTAAAGGGGACTATACCCTAAACCCTAAATAGGAGTTTCCATTTTCTTTTCCATTGTCCCTATACAACTCCTATCAACCCTACATTCTATCTACTTCAGGGGGACTATAATACTTGACTGCTAGTCCCTCAGACTCAGGATGCGAATTCACAATTCTAAGTTTTGCAGCTTCCGAGGAATAATTGTACCCTAAGGGTCCAAGGACCCAAATAATAGGGCTTGAGGGCCCAAATACCATTAATAGTATAGTACTTGGGTCCTAAAACCGTCTTATTTGGGTCCTTGGACCCTTAGGAGTAATGATTACTGCTTCCCATTGCTACCGGGGGGAGGAGTAGTAGCAATCCCTTCCTCCAATATGTTGATATTATGTGGCCAGGCCTATGTAATTTTTGCTTTTTGTAGATTGGGGTTTTGGTATGTTTTGCTTGCCATTTTTGAAAAGTGAACAGGATAGGAGTTTATCAGGTTTGATTGCCATTTTCTGACTTTTGCAAAGTTCCTTTGTCATTTTCCTGGCTCGATCTGTCGAAGCCTCATTAATCTGCTTTTGCCGGGGATCCGGGTCCAGAATTCAATGGTTATGTAGTGAAGGCCCTTGTCGTTCATGAGCATGCCGCCAATTACTAGAAATCATATCAGGCTGGAGTTTCCTTGTTATTTTGGAGGGTGCAGCTAATTTGCGGAAGGGAATAGTAAAACCATGCAGACGTCATGTTGTGCAGCACGAGCGAGATGCGAGTGGCCACCACAGGAGGTGCAAAATGCAGATGCACATCTAGCTCTGTTCTGACTTTGCCTCTTTTATGTTTTGTAGGCATGTGACATGTTGGCCATGTTTCTTCTGCAGCTTTTGGTTGGCGATTCCAAAATCCGAGCATACGCCTCGAAAGGCAGGATCAGTAAGCCAAAGCAAAATGCCTCAACCAACAACCCGCAATGTTACCAGTCCAGGCCAGATACTTCGGCAGTCCCGCACAGGGTGAAAGTCTAGTTTCGCTCAGAATTTCCGACCCTTCCTGAGCTTGGGTCAAAGTTTGTTGCGCGATTCGTAGCCTTGAGCTGTTTGCCCGCTGTTGAGCCAGCGCGCATTGGTTCAACTGCTTCAGAACCTCTACTAGTTATGCAGAAAGGGTGTTGAATACGAATTGGAGCCGGCCCTTTCTCCACCGAGACTGAGGACATTATCAGCCTTGCTATCCCTGGTGCTGACAACCTCAAGGCACGCGAGCAGTTGTTCTTATGTGATGTCACAGGGTGCTTCTTAGCGTGGAGAGGCTACGGCTCCCCGAATTTGATTGCATGAGCTTGTGGCTTCATGTGGAAATGAAAACCTTGATGATATCCCCCTTTCGCACCCGTATCGATTATCTGGGTTGCTGTTAAGGAACTTAATGTAAGTTTCTATGTTGGGGAACACCTACTAATTACTACTATACCCATTAGGGTAACTTGATTTAAGTTCCTTAACAGCAACCGAGTCACCGTGCCCAGGGCCGGGCTTCTACGTGATGAGCCTTCTTTGGAGTTTGCACTGGCCCCCAGCCAGAACCTGCCAGCACCAGGAACCCCCATGAAAGTATAGAGCCTGCAGGGGACCCTCTTTCCTTGATTCTTTGACAAAGGAGTTCAAGGGCATCAAAATCATCCGGGCGCTGCGCTTACTCAAGCTCATGCGCATATTTCGCACCTCGAAAGTGCAGCTTGCCTGACACACGGGGTTCAGGGTCTGTGGTTTTTGGTCGGCGCCTAATGATTTGTCGTATGTTTCCTTAAGGTGTATGTGCGACTGCGAAGAGTTTGGCTTGGATAGATGACTGCAACTGGAGAAACAGGAACAGCTGATCGAGCTTGAAAGGCGTCGTACCCCCTTGCTTGCACCGTCTCGTCCTAGGAGTCTGCTATAGCGGGAAGTGCATTTAGACCCAAGCCGCTGGCAGCACACATGCTCATATTGGGGGGAATATTAGGGTTATTATGGGGTAATGTTTAAGGTAATATTGGGTTATATGTGGGTAATATTAATGCTGCCAGGGACACCTCACATCTATAGTCTATAGTCTGGAACCCATTTGATGAGACCGAATTAGAAGAGCTCGCGGAGGATCTCTCCAGTTCTGAGACCAGGATGTGGCAAGTATGCAGCCAAGACAGACCCGAGGATACACAAGTTGGAGATTGCGCTCTCCATCCCGTACCAGCAGATGGCCCTCATCAAGTTCTTATTGGTGTTCCTGGGCGCAATCTTGAGCTCTGAACGTCTAGAAGAGCAGCATTCTCTCAGAGCGAGAGACCTAAACCCAAACTCTACTAAGCTGAAAGCCGCGCAGCATAGGAACAGGGCACCAGCAGGTACTGTACTGGTGCAGCGCTTCTCGATCTCGAGCCCGTGGTCAGTTTTGATGGCAACCTGTTGTGTATATATAATCGTTCTTGCCAGCAGTAGAGTCTTCATGAGCAGCCCCGTACGCACCGTCTACTGACACTAGGGGCCCGCCGTTACTAGAATTGCACGCCACGCGCGGGCCAGCGTAGCACCCCAAAACTGTTTGTATAAAGACTGTGAAGAGCAACTGTTGTATGTGTTTCCATTGTGTTCGGGGCGTCTGTGCTTTCGCTTCTGCATGGTCGTGCGATGGAAGTGTGACTTCACGGCTTGCCCCACACCCTCAGGACAGAGGGTCAGGGGTCTTGATGACTCCAAAAGAGCTGCAGCGGATGCATGCAGAAGGGGCTCTATGTGTTGAGAGGTGCCCAGCTTCTCTGATAAGTCCGCAGCCCCGCGAACTAAAAGCGAAGGTCTCTTCTTCAAAGCCTACTCTATTCTATTCCCCGTGCCTATAGCGCACCCCAACAGTCCTTCGCGTACAGCTGCCCAGAGCAAAGCCCCGAGGCTGATGTTGGTTTGTCACTGGCTCTCGTCCCTTTGGGCAATGACCTTGGGGATGGTCGACACTACGTGCTTTGGCTCTGTCACCTCCTTTGGTCTTGAGAGCCTGGTTGTTGCTCACGGGTTGTTGGCAGGGAATATGGGAATAGAATCCCTACAAAAGCCCTATATATTATTCCCTATGAACAACCAGTAAGGTTGACTTGGGAGAAGCAGCCCGCAGAATAGGGTTCACATGATGCGGTGCAAGCCCGCAACGCGAGTAACGCAAACCAGGCTTCAAAACTTCGTTGTTGTGGGAGGGCCCTGCTATTCTCGTGCCACTGCTTTCAGCAAATACGGCTACATGAGCCACTTGCTAAGGTCATCATCTAGCTCTCCTTGTAATCTGAGCTCAAAAGCCTCGGGCTTGGAATTCCGTAAACTTGCCTACGGAGCCTAAGCACTTTTCAACAAGGAGCCCGAATGCAAAGCCACCTGATCCCTAGCCAAAGGTCTTCATCTGTCGCACAGGCATGCTCCAACCGAGGAAACGGTCAAAAAGCGAGGAAGGGTTGCTTGGGGCTTACGGGCGCGCCAGACCTATAATCCTGAAAGCAAACCGTTTGAGGAGATTTTGTAACATGGCCCGAGCATGGTCCAGAAACCCTTGGCAAGGTATCCTCAGTGGATCGACGGGATTGCTGCATCCGACGCGGAGTCCCATGGCTCAGTTTTGTGCGTTCATGAAGTGAAGGCTGATGGACTTGACAACCTCGGCAGGGCAGACATAGAAACACACGCACAAGCTTGCAGCTCACCCAATGACCGCAAAAACTTAGTACGCATCTGGTACGTGAAAGCTTGCGGAATCGCCGAATGTCTGATACTCTGTGGACGTCGTGGACAGCACATCTGGATTGCTTTAGCTTGACAGTTCCTTGCAAGACCCGAGGCCGAAAGCTGAAACAGTGCAGAATAAGCTTTCTTCGTCTCCTTAGAGAACAAGCCCTGCCAATACCCTCTAAGTCGCCCAGGTTCGGAATTAATACGAAGACCTCGCCATTCCGCATCTACCTGGCTGCTTTCTATTTCTGCAGCTACCGGGATTGTTCAGATGCTCGTTCATTGCATGGGTCCGTAAACACCCTCTTGCAAACTAGCCGCTAGCCGCGGCATTCTCTTGATTGTAGTTAGTGGCTGATAAGCAAGGGCGAGCGTGGCTCTGGCTTGTTTAAGTCACCATGAGCCTTCAACACCAAAGCCTAAGCCACGCTAGGGAATCTCGGGAGGAGACATGCCTGCTTTTTCAAGCCGGTGTTGCTCTTTCATTGTGCAGCCTTCTCTGAGCCTAACAGGTATGCATGCGCCATCGACCCTTCACCCCAACATGTTTTGGGACCGGCAACGCTACACTTGAAGGCTTTAGAAAGCCATACATGCGTGGCGCACTTTCAGGCTACACGATGACATCTGTTGGGTACGGGGACATCGGGCCAAAGAAGCTTGGTTGAGACGTACATGTGCAGCCTTATTGGCTTCCAAGTTGGGATTGGCAAAATTAAATTGTTGTTTGCACCCTTGCCCTTAGTTGCTCGGGGCTGTAGTCTTGAATCCAATCCACTTATCACTCCGCTCTGCGTCCTGTGGCGTTCAGTAGGCCTCAAGCAGTGGCAAGCACTGCAAGCACTTAGAACAGGTATACTTCTGCACCGGTGATAGCAGTAACTACTGCCAAAACATGAGCAAGAGAGAACCAGAACTGTTTTGAACCTGTGTGCATGTGGGATTCGCCTCCGATTCTGCAAGCGAAATACGATATGGACCTGGATTTCAGAGCTATACAGAACTCTAAGGCGTGGCTCAGGAGTGTCTTGAAATTTTGCTCTGAGGTGGGCATCCGGATTGGAGACATGGCTAGTTCATGCAGCTGAAGGTATACACCTGAACTAAAGAAAATCCGGCTTCAGGAACATCGTGGAACGCGGGTTCTGCATTGCTATCGTCCTCATCGCCGGCTTGTGCTGGGCCTACATCCTCGGTGAGGCGGGATGCTGTAAAACTCGCTCTGCAAGAAAAAATGGCAGTAATGGTAATACTAAGAATACTAAGACAAAGGGTATACTCAAAGATATTTGATAATCATAGCTATTAATAAGTCATGGTTGAGAATTCATTGGGACAACTTGTGATTCGGCAGGAGCGGCTCGTGGGCCGTCCAAGGAAGTATACAGGGATACTAGACGCCCGCTTGCCCATAATCCCTTCTTTCACTGCAGTACAAGGGTGCCCAAGGGAAGCATTGATCAGTGGAGGGCGATCTTGATTTGAAAGTTTCCCAAAACAGGGGGACCCCAATATAGACCCTAGGATACTATAATATAATCCTCATTATGGAGACCCCCAGAGAGGTACCCCTGATTTTGGGGAAGCTAACATTTGCAAGCTGCCAGTGTTGAGGTTGGTGTCATCGTCACAGACATCAACTCGGAGAACCAAGGAGACCATTGAAAGCCTTGCTGAGCTCAGAAATCCCAAGCCCTAAATCAAAAAAGCCTTCTCCCTGAGTCCTAGAGCCTTAGTAGTTTCCATTTTCTTTTCTGTTCTCCCAATATATAGCCCCAATATAGCCCCTAAATCCTGAACCTCTTGAGGACTGAGGGTCCTGAGCTGCTTGCGCACTTGAAATCATGACGGGGCTAGCGTTCAGGGGGGGGTATGGGAGTGCCATAAGTCAAGGACGGTGATGGGCATTATAATATCTTATAGTATATTGCAGTATAGTATGTTATAGTACACTATTGTATGTTATGGTATACTAACTACTGGGATGCCACATGTTTCATCGAATTTTCTGTTGTAAGGCTTTTTGAGCCCGCAGCGATCTAAAACAACATTGGTGAAAAGAGGGGGCAGATTGTGAAATGTTGCAGTAACATAGCTGTTGGTAAATAGACCCTCCCAAGCTGTTTTGGAGACACCCTTGTGTTTGGCACGGATTGGGGACCTGGCTTTGGAATTGCACTTTTCGGCTATACTAGCAGCCTCCTATAATTTCATGCATGCTCATGAAAATGTTAGACCTTCGTGCTGTTATTATTAGTATTAGTATGTATCAATATATATATATATATATGTATTTATTGGTTTCCATGTCTGGATCGTTTTGTCAGGATTCCGGAAGAAGATGAACAGCTTGAATCGCATGATGCAGGCACCGGGACACCCAAATTCACAAGAAGCACAGAGATCCCTAGGGATCATAGTTACATCTACATTGGGCCCTGGAGTCTGTAAATATTACCCACATTGGGCTATAGGGATCCCTAAAGGATTGTAGGGACCATTGATGGGAGTCTTGCATATGTGGCGTACCTTCTGAAGTTGCAACGGATAGTAGGTTCACGAGAAATTAAGGCTCTATAATCTATCGTCTCTACGATTCGCTGGAAGACAAGAGGTAATACTTGCCGGTTTAGATTTGATCACCAGAAGGCGCAGCGCACGCAGGCAGTGGGTTCTGGGGAAGGAATTCATCACCATCGTTACCATGATTAGTGTTACTATTACTGTTATTACCGTCATTGTTATTACTATTATGTTTTCAAGTTTGAGCAACATTGACTACGAGGGCAGTGAACCTCAACACATCCACGGTTTGAGGAACAAATCAGAGATGAGTCGCATGTCTTTCTTGGAGCTCAGCTCAGGGCTGCTGTAGGACGCATATCAGTCTTGGCAAACTGTTGGTCACCAGCTCCTTTGCCGCGGATCTCAATCCACCTCCATGGAATGGACTAAGCTGGGAGGAAAAGGCGTAACAGGAACCACCGGGTCGTAACAGGAACTTCGTAACACCCTATATATATGTATATATTCCCTTGTTCCCGAAAAAGAATAAGGACCCTCCCTTGGTCTCAGGAGCGGGGTCTTCCACAACATTTGCGAAGGCGGCTTCGAAGTTTCTTCCTGCAGAATAAGCATCAAGCACAGTTCGCAGCTTGGCAGCTTATTTTCTTCGATCACCTCTATCTTTCCAAGCTGGGTAGAAGGCCGGCTAACTACACGAGTACTGTTCAATGAGCCGGAATTCCTGTAACTATCAAGAGTACTAACAAAAGAATAATAATAGTAACTATAGAGTAGTAACTAGTCTAGCCCATGGAATCCTCTTTAGCTCCCCGCTTGGAGCCATGGGCGGGGGGGCGCATGGCGGGTCATTGAGCTGAATGGGATGCTATGGAATGAGCCACGTACTAGCAGCCTGCACCTGTTATCTCCTACTCGATGCTGCGGCGTCTCGCAGGTGTGTACTCAAAGAAGCAAGAGTGGGGTTGGGATTCAGTTTCGAGCGCTGCTGCAGTCATCACATCGGCAGCAGATGCTAACTTGGTACGTATCTACAGCAAAGTAACTTTGAACAGCATCTTGCAAAACATCCGGCTCTGCAGGCACCTATAGCGGCCTCCGCGCAAGTGCGACAGTCTAGGATTTGGGGACATTACATGCCTGCCGATATGGTCCCAGCATTTAGATCGAGTATGGACTTCCCCAAAAGCATGACAACATTTCCATATACCCTATTGTCTATCTACGCAAGGGTGGCTAGATGCTATCTACCTAAGAGAGCCGTTTGGGTCATAACACCACGAAGATGAGAATAGTGACCGGTTGCCGGCTGTTTTTGACACCAGAGGTTCTCCGATGTTCATCTTTCAAAAGCTCAGAGCTTCAAATGCCTCTTTCCCCGCGAACTCTTGTTTGCAGCTATTCAAATCCGGTACCAAAGCTTCAGGTAAGACATCAAAAGCTGCTGGACAGCATGAGCCCGCAGCTACAAGCGGAGGTGTCAACGGCCCTGCACCTGGGACTTAGGTTAGCCGGTTAGCCGTTAGGTTTAGTGGTTCCGGGCTTTTCGGGCTTATGCGAAGAAAACATTGGAGCGAATTGTCCTCTTTTTCCCGGAAATTCCGCGTATCGTCATGTGCGTTTATAATGCATGAGTACACTTATGGATGATGTGAACTGCTCTTTGCTAACAACAAACCTGAGGATTCCATGTGGGCCCGATGCGAGTTTCCACGAAAGAAGTTGCACTGGTTTTGTTTTGGTGTTTGCGCTGCCCACAACAAAGCAGCTAACTGATACCTTACCTTCTGCGGCATAGATTTGGTGTTCTGGCACCAGTACATTCCATGTGTGGCTGATTTGTGTCTTAAAGGGCTGGGAACAGGGGAATGGGATTTTATGTTGTGTGGTAGTTTCCACGTTCCTTTCCAGCATTCCCCTATGTACACTTATATAACCCCAAATAACACCTAATGTTATTACATATCCCTTACTGTAACCCTATATTGCTACGATCCCCATATAATCCTATCAGTGATCATTTGGAAGCTTTGGAAAACCCGGGGTCCGTTTACAGGGGTTTTCTGATGACATTCAGATCCAATACTTCGGGCATTGCTTTTGGGATCCGTCTCTCAGTAAATAGTAGTTTCCATGTTCTTTTCCATTATCCCAATATAACCTTTATATCAAGCAGGTAATACTAGTAGTTTCCATTTCATGTTCATTTGATTTTCCACTTGATTCTCCGGTATCCCTACATAGCCCTTATATAGCTCCTATATCCTTCGGCATTGCAGCTTCCAGTCCTTGGAAATTGCTCAAGTCCGGCAAGTGGTTCCGGAAACTTACCTATCGCACACGATTTCAGTGCTTCCTCTCCTGAAGGTCTACCACGAGGCCCCTTAAGGAAAGCCGTGGGCCTTTCGCAGCCTGAATTCCTAAACCTAGCTGTGGCTGCTGGTCCTTAGGCTGATGGTGTTTAAGTGCCGGTCCTTTCTTACTTGCCTGTTTCTAGGCTCAGGATGTGGAGCCCTACTTTATCTTTGCAGACGTGAATGAATGACAAGCTTCAAGAGACGTAGTGTAGTAGTCAGTGGTCGAATCTTGGAAATGGGCGCGCCCCTGCTAATCAGAACCTGCTGCACCGGTCACCAATCCACTAAGTGCAGAAGAGCTTCTGTCAGGAACTTGCAGTGGCTAAACCGCGTCTGGTTCTTCCGGCAGTTTATGAGGGTCATCGAGAGCAAGGACTGGACTGACACCAGAGCCCCAAACTCAATCAAGCCCAAAACCCGCAAGGCATTAGCTTGGTGGGAAGCAAAGCAGTTCTACATCAAAAGCACTATGGCCATCAGCCTTGAACTCTGCTTGGTCGAAGGGAGAGGATTACCATGATAGTCACCCACTTAAAAGAACAGGCAGCGCTTTCTTGGCGCATGTGCAGGAGAAGTCGGGCATCAATACGGACCTTCATCGTGCGTGCATCTGGGCTTGGTACAGCTAGGTCTCGGAAATGTGTTGTAAAACCTTGACTTATCCCTTGAACCCAGGCCTGACGATTCCGTAGGTTTTTTCACCCAGAAACGTCAAGCCAGGTGAGTCTGCAACCCAAAGCCCCTTTAGCTACCAGTCGGGATTACACTCGTGTTTGTTGTGACATACTCATGTGACTCTGGGCCGAAAAGCCCTCAACCCTAAGCGGAATTCTGAAAACTCCTGCCCGTCTTAATGCTCTCAATATGACTCTTGACTGCTGCAGTTACTATCACGTGCTGTCAGTAGTATTGCTATGGCTACGACAATCACTTGTTGCTATTGCTGAGGTATCTCAGACATCTCGCACCAGATCGAAAGCCGGGCCTTCGCGCAGGAGGAGATGTTCGGCGATGTCCAGGTACCACATGCACAGTTGCGAATATTGCGAAAGTGAGGCTTGAAATCTTGGGCTCCAAACCGCGTGTGTGTTCTGCGGAGCCGTATTCTTCTACCGAGTTTCTCAAAGGCCGAGGATGTTAGGAAGTGACCTACAAGGTTGAGGGCTTGGAGTTATGTAGGTTTTGGGGAATATGATGTGTGATCAACTTGATGCTTGAACGTGCCTGAGGCTTGCAAGCCTCTGTTAGACCAGGCTGTCAAGTGCGCGGCCAGGTGGCTCCCGATGATCCCAAGCCCCTGAAGCCACCGTCCGAAGCACAAGCACGTCCGTTTTATAGGCCGAGGTAACCAAACCATTCTCAACACTGTGGATGTTGCCTGATCTCTCTCTCCCTCTCCGCCCTCCATCTACGCCTGCATGCAGATGGAATCCACATGTAAGGCTTGAAGATAACACATCTGACTCTGGGGGTTTTCAGGGCTCCCTCCATCCTCACCGGAACTGTTTCGGCATCCTTTCCTGGACTTACCAGTTCAAAATTGTACTTCCTCCAGCTTCATTGAGGAACAAACTACTATGTTGCGATGGAGGTGTCCCTAGGCGCGGGCACCCCTAATAGGATTGAATTTGGCAGAGTACAAATTAACATTCCCTGCCATGTTAAGAGCCCGTACACAGCGATTAACATTGCGTGGAGCTCTGCTGAAGTGCACGGACATCAGAACCTTGCGTAATTGCCGCCACTCCCCTACCCTAAGCCTGATCGTGTATGTATCACAGGTGACCGCGCATTTTAATCACTCAAAAAGCCACCAACCCTAGAATTGCAAAAGCCTGTGGCTTAGGAGCGAAAGCAAAACAGAAGCATAAGCGTCTGTGGCATATCCACATCTTCTAGGGGTTGGCTATAAGGGGCTTCAAATGGGACATTATCCCAAGCCATCTATTTGCTTGTATTTGTGTGTTGCCCTCTAGTGGGATCTCGCGGGCGTCTCCACATACGCGTCAGTGCTTGCGTGTCGTGCACCACATTCAACAAGTTACCCTGGGAAATCCCATGAAGACATCACGCACGCAATGGAGTCTACAGCCGCTCAGGTGCTTTACATCCTCTCGAAGGGTTTGGTGGCACTGAACAGCAAGATTGGCCTCTACGGAGCCGTTTGGGGTGAGGACGCTGAGAGCAGGCTTCATCCATTTAGCTCCTGTATTAGTCCCCCTTAAGTAGATAGAGTATTAGGGTTATATTGGGGATATATAGGGATAATGGAAAAGAAAATGGAAACTACCATAGTGTAATAGAGTTGCTTGTCTTTTCCTGCAGCATCCCGCCAGGACTTTGTGCTTTCTGACGCAAGTCTCATTCGACGAGTGTCCGCTTTTGCGTTCCTAGCCTGCACGCTACAAAGCTTCGGCTGCGGAATTGGGGTCTTGGCTTGTCGCCTTTTCTGATGGCTGTTGGTTGCGGTTCTGTTTTAACTACAAATGGCAGATCCTCTCGATAGGGGTCCAAAGACCAGACTGCAGAAGTCTTCATCACGTTGTCAGTGCTTTCCCGGGAAGACGGCTCCCACTGCACTGGAAAACTCGGGAAGCATCACGCAGTTGTCCGAGAACATAGGCCAAGAAGGCTTCAAGCTCTTTGTCCAAGGCTGACCTACTTGGAGGTGTTGTGCCTAACCCACAGCAAGTTCATGGAAGTGGTGGAGAGAAGGAGGAGTACCTGTCCTCAGCTGGCTCAGAACCCCGGCTGCATGGCTTGCGCTTCTCAGGGCGCAGATGAGTGTGTCCTGCATGTTTGGCCAAGTTAGTGGTCCCTTTGTCCTAATGATGTCAGTTCTATGCTACTGCGGACAGTAGTTTGGGACCCGACATGTTGGGCAATCCCTATGTAACCCCCCAAATAGGGACAGCTATAATCCTCTTCTAATCCCTACATATGCCCAAGGTCCCTAAACCCTAAACAATCATTTCGAAGTGCCCCTGTTCCTGGCTGAAACCTTACCCTGTGAGGATTGTCCGGCAGTACTGCGTGCGCGTTGCTACTCGCCGGGGCATCCTATCCGAGGCCCATGTCAGAAGTGGACGTCAATACAAATACGCAGGGTATAGGGAGCAACAAAGCCATCATGCTAAGATACAATTGTGTGCAAGTTGTTAGTAACATCATAGGCAGCTGTTTTTTCGAGACGTTCTGGTGTTAATGGTCGTCAGACTGTGTGGGGTCTCTAGCTTTAGCGTTGCGGATTATTAACTTGAGCGTTCGAATACCCAAGCCGGAGATTCCCTTGATACTCATAGCCTAAGCTCCTCAAAAGGGCATTATCTATGGGATTAGTTACAGTAGGGGGAGTACTCTAGGGGTTATTAAGCAGGATACTGGGAGTTTTAGACTTAGCTCACATGGGGATTTCCTGCTAGTGATGAGGGAGTTTGGTTGTGAACCTTCAAATCTTGGTGGGCTCAGGTTATTCATCCTGCTTACTCAGTGAGGGCTTCTCAATGCAAACATGTTCTGGTAAACTCCCCTCCCCCCACCTCACTCCAGTGCAGCAACATCTCAAGACATGAAGCAGGGATCCCGCTTGTACTGCAAGCGTGAGGAACCTGTTGGCTACAGTAGACCTCCCCCATGCAATGTGCCCTATAATCTGAAAACTTCTTACTACGACCCTATAGCCTGACAAGATCCGATAGCAATGCTGCAAAGTCTCCGTCTGGGAATTGTCCAAACCTGTAGCCCTATTTCTGTGCCCCAACGTTTTATGGCCAGAATGGGTATCGCAAGAGGAGCCAAAACCTTGTGACTAGTTCATGTGACGCGTACAGCATCCTGGAGGAAGGTGATTGAATCATGTTGGCTGTATGTTTACAAATCCTGGCAGAGGCCCAGAAGCGGAACATCGGCAAACGAAGCCGTGTCTTGGCGGCGTTCACTTCCAAAAGACAAACAGGAGGACGCCGATTTTCTGTATAAGAAACACGTATTGTTTTTGAAAGCCTCGGGGGGGGAGTGCGCAGGAATTTAACTTATCTTCCACAACCCATCCTGTAGCGCTTGTATATAGGTATTATGCAGGGCTATGTTTGGGAGGTTCCAGGTCTTCATACGGTTTCTGGTCGAATGCGAGCCTCTAAGGATGACGTGGGCCCTTTGCAGGGGTTCAAATTTGCACGTCTGAAGGGAATGACCGGGTATAAAGCCTACATTTCAGCTTGGGATGGCGTTCTGCGTCGAAAGCTACAGTGCGGTTGGCATAGAGGCATATAGAGGCCCAAATTCGCCCCAACCCAAGATATGAAGCAGTCACAATACAACCATTGGCTCGTTCATTGTTGCATGAGCAACAGCAACCAGGAAGAGCACTAGGAACAAGTAGCGGGACAGACTTTGGCTTGGGAACGCTGATGAGGACATGTGGGCAAGACGCACTTAGTGACCATTTGTTGCATGTCCTTCTTTTTGAACCGCCCGATAGTCGCTGATAGCAGAACGCACGTCATGATTGCTGGCTTTATAGCTCGGAGCGCTCGAGTAGCATCGGCTTCTGGGGTAAGTGCACAGACCGAGCCGAGCCGAGATCAATGCACACAAACGCTTGTCTCTCAATGAGAGTTATGCATACATTGCAGCGGAAATGCAAGCCCTCTGAGCCTCAGGTATACGTTTCGAAGATACATAAGAAACGGTAAGGGGACCCTTTGGAGATGGGAGTTGCTCAACTTGGTCCTGGCTGGCTTCTTACAATCATCACTGGTCCATGTGAACCTGCGATTCACATAAATGCACCGAAAGCCCATAGATTAAAACACGACACCAAGTTCAAAACATGGTATCGCAGGCCTTCAAACGTAAAATAGGAAAATGATTGGACCGCATCGTTCGACTGCTGCCCAATACCTGCCGATAGCGGGTTGGTAGAGTATTGTGTTCGGTTCGGTGTCAATGCATGGCCCTTGCGCTTATCCATCCAGCCCCTCCCTTCCATCCAGCGGCTCCTCCTTTCAGCCCCCGATTGTGGCAATTCAGCATCGGTTCGATGACAGTTCTGACGCGATGTCGATAGAGGTCTTGAATTCTTGACGTGCCCATCATAATACAAGTCCCGAAGATCCCTTGATAAGTAGGAAATGGAGTAATGGATCCCTATAATCGTACATAAAACAGCCAATCATATAGTACGTATCATTTTCTTTTTCATTCATCACTTGCTATCCGTGCAAACAATCAGTACCCGGATCCCAAGAGTAGGTGAAATAAGGGACTAAAAACCTTAAAGAGCCCAAAAGGCAATTATTCGACATATTTTTGGTGTTCAGGTATGTCTTCTGAAAACCCTCTGCCAGGTCCCAATTCTCGGCATAACTCTGCTGGCTCGGAGCGCCCGTCGCCTTCGCCGTCCGCGGCTCCAAAGGAAACATGTCCAGTGCCCTGGGTTTATATAATATGTGGAAACTTAGGGTTTAGGGTTTAGGGGAGAGCCTGGATGCAAAAAGTTTTTAGGGGATTTAGAGTTTGGGGTTTAGACTTTCGGTTTAGAGCTTTATCCGAGCACTTGTTTAATTTGAGGCGGACCACCCCCACGCCAGAACAAGAAATTGAGGGCGCCAGATTAAAAGAATGATTGGGGCTCCTGGAACTCAATTCAACAAAATAGGAGTGCATTCCTGCGTCATTGGGGCTCTTGGACGTTAAACAATGAACAGGAATGTATTGAAGAATCTCTATTCTCAGGATTGGTTCCCCATAAAATTTCTTTAAATGTAGTCCCTTGTCCCCATACGAAAAAGCCACATAATTGTCGCTAGTCTTTGGACGCTAATTTTACACCAAACAATTTCTTTAAATGTGGACCCTTTAATAACACCAATGCTCGGATTAGGGTTCCCCAAAGCAAAGAGGAAGTATTGGATTTCGATTTCTACGGTGGCAAGATTTCCTGAAGCTGGTCGGAAAGGCATTTCCCAGAAACTGCCCAGACCCCCTAAAGGATCCCAAGAAAGGAACCCCCTAGTAATCCCCGAGTTTCCCCAATGTAACACTGGGGCTCATTTTGGGGGTTTCCCTTTTTTTGGATCCTTTAGGGAGCCTGGGTGAGGGACCATGCTGCGAGGTACTGCCGGTAATCCCGCTGCCAGGGGCATTGGGGTGAACCGTGAGGCGTTCAGCGGAAAGTATCGAGATGCTGTTCATGTTTCTGGTAATAGAGTAGCAGTAAGATAATAACAGTAGTATTATATTACAGTAACAGTATCACAGTAACAGTATTATAGTAAGGAATAAGGGAATAGATGGGGGTAGTAAAGGGATACTGGAAAAGAATATGGAAATTGCTACAGTATAACAGCGTATATGTTGGGGTTATAGTTTGCAGGGCTTCAAAGGCAGATTGCAGTTTCTGGGCTTCAAAATTCAGGGGATGCGGCGATGATGGGGCCATTAGACCCATGCAGACTCAACGTACTGATTCCAAAACGCCGCTGCAGAATCAGCCCTTCTGCGCAAACATGAAGGTACATTGGATGATGACAAAAACTACATGGGAACGAGCATGGATATTACGAATACTTCTTACTGCCTCTCAGAAGATCAGGCAACTGTACCAACAAATGCTAGCAATGGGTTTTCGCGGGAGTGCTTCCAGTGAAGATGGCAAACAATTGGCAGAGGAAGTTCTGTCATGTTATGGCAGAGTACGACGATTACAGTGTACCTCTGCTTCGGCTTATGAAGCAACAAAGAGGTACTTGGATGCTTGCGGTAGTCTTCCCCCCAAAAGGATAAGACCCTGGCAGACCGCTTTCACAAGCAAATACAGTACTCTCCACCGGACTTGTTAAGATTCCTCGGCTATTCAGGGGACGTACTTTGAATTCGTTGTCATGCCATTACAACACGTTTTTGGGTTCTTCAGAGTGTGGGCGTTTATGGTGTACCAGTTACGAAAGTAGAATTACAAGCGACCTATGTGACGCTATAGCACAGCTTATCTGAAGAATGCACGTTGAAACCTTGCTAGGAGCCCAAAAGACTTCTGAGTATCTGAGCTATAGTAGCAGCTCCTGAAAGGGGGCTGTAAAGGGGAATACATGGGGGGCAGTTCTAGGGGCATACTCCATATCATGAGATGTACTCATGTGTATGTTCTCATTGTGCACATCCTCCAGCGAAATTTGTGAGTTTGAGAACCCCCGTGCCACATGGAGTAGGTATCATGTTTCATGAGTCCGGGCGTGACGCACCCTAACTCCAGGCCCTTAACCCCAAAAAACCTAAACCCTAGAATGGACCTCTAAGGTATTTGCAACAAAGTTGCATTGTCCAGGATGGGGACTGTCCATCAGGTGTTCAACTGGAGGCTTGAGGGGTCAGGGTGCCTGCGGGATATTCATGTCACAGTGATGTTCAATGTATCAACTTTGTGTGCGGAACTGGCGCCGCAGTTGCATTCTTCGCCCGCTTGGGAAGACATGCGACTGGCGGCTATCATGTTGCCTTTCTGTAGCGCCGAGGTTTGGGTACCCTCTAACCCCAAGCCCCAGACAGTGATCCCAAAACTCTCAATCCAAAATGCATGAAACCCAAGCCCTGACATTGGCTTGGAAGGCTTGCTCCGCTGTTCATTGAGGTGGAGCATCCGTGCCGCTCTGCAGGGCCGTAAACTTCAGGGTCTCCACTCAAGTTGCAGGCGTAGATGCACATGCCCATGCTATGGTATGCATGCGTAAAAGTTGGATGACCCCATCCCCATGCCCCCAAGCAGCACAGTAATCGTTCCAGATCATGAGGAGAATCAGACTCTTCCAGAATATGAAAGCTGCGTTGTTTTGTGGGTGACGACACAGTGTTGAAGGACAAAAATTCTTGTATCTGAAGAAGTTGGGAGTACTATTCCGCACTGATCATTCTTAATTCCTGCAAAACGTCCGAGTAGACATATGCTAGCTGCTGAGCTGATCTTGAGTTTGATTTCGGGGCATTCTTCTGGAACAATGCCTCCTGGCCAGCTTGTGCAGTATGCAGAGATCACGAGTCTGTGTATTGCAGATTTGCTGGAGAAGGCCCCGGTCAGCTGCTGCCCTTCTTGAAAAATGAGGTGTTCCAATAGGATGGCATGGAAGATTGAAGATGCTTCGATTGTTTGGGCAACTTGATTACCA